TTTATGTAATAGTTCACAAACTACATAGAAAAGATAAATCATATTAGAAATATTTTGTGTAATAGGTTCGATAAAAAAAAAAAAAAAAAAAAGGTTCGATGATGGCAAGGAGGCGTCAAACAGTATATATACCTATTGGCCTGGCTAAGTTGTCGAGAATCGAATTCAAAGTTAAACTTACTTTGGCCATTCAATTCCTTGATTTTACTCAAAGATGGGATAATACAATATCCTTACTGGACTTCCCTCAGTCTTTTTACCTTTATTTGCAACTTTCTTTGCTTACACTTTATGCAAACACCTTTATTTGGATGAGAGTTTGGTTATGCTTACTTATATATTTCGGGTACACGTCTTATGAAAAGACTAGATCAGATTAATTCGAATTTGAATTAAGTATACTTGAATAAATCTTTATCCAAAACTCTACTCAAAACGATTTAACATGACATAATGCACTTTTTTACAAGAATATTATAATTGGATTTGTTGGTTTTTAGACTCTCGAACAGTCTATCGAGGATCCAACACAACCGGTCGAATGAGAACAAGATACGTGAAATAAATAAACAAGACCAGAATTTTAATGTGGAAATCTACAAGTAAAAATTACGAGCCTTTTAGGACAATGTCAAATCAAGAATTCACTATTTTTGTAGGTGATTTGTACATGTACATTTTGTCTGTATGTTGTTTTTCTCCTCAAAAGATGTAGCCCCCCTCCCTCTCGTACTTCCTCTCTTTTTATAGCTACAAAATACTAGCTAGATAGTGGGTAAGGGGTGTTCAAGGGTAGTAAATAGGGTGTTTTATTAGGTTTTAATGGGTATTATGAGGTAGTAAATAGGAGGTTAAATTAGTAGGTTGTAATGGGTGGTAAAGGGATTAATGGGTTTTTATGGGTAGTTAATAAGGTAATAAAGGGGTATTTATTTAGGGTTATGGAAGGGTGTTGGGTAATTTAGTTTAGGGAGTCGAAAAAATTGACCAGTTGATCACGGTCTTGATTTGTTGCTCGGTAGTCTGACCGGATTTCTATATTGGATTAGGATTTGTGGTCCGCTTACCACGAACATAAGTTATTGATTTGTTTCATATATTGACAATTTGATATTAAATTAATATCACTTTTTATCTTTTAATTGTTGTAAGATTTCTCTCTTTTTTTTATATATATAAAAAATTAAATACCCTCAATTTCACAAAAATTCCTCCCTTCTTACTATGAGGGCATTTTGCATGGTTTACACTGAATTTGGTGGATTTGTAAAAATCAAAATATAAAAAAGGGTTACATTAATCTATACTATATATATAAAAACAAAATTCTGAAATTTTAACTTCCCGTCCAATTCCTACAAAATCTCCCTTTCCAATAAAATATATCGTACAATAATTCTGGGTAAAAATTCTATTCTAAAATTATAAAATAGTGTAATACAATTTACTCTACACATCTAATCTATACTATATATATAAAAAAAATTTGAAATTTTAACTTCCCGCCCAATTCCTACAAAATCTCTCTTCCCAATAAAATATATTGATTTCTAAAAAAAATGCTTTATTAAATAGTTTCTAAGAAAAAACTATGAGAACCTTATGTTTATTAATGAATTTTTAAATTTTGTAATTAAAAAATTGTCCCGTGCTTTATTTAATAATCTCTTTATAATTGGTCAAATTATTTAATTCTAATAAATACGTTGAAACATGTGCTCCACACGCCCCCTCACGTTCCAGTCGCTTATGAGTGGCGCTGGGATTCGAACCCATGACCTTTGATCTGGCTCTGATACCAAATTGAAGAATGTGCTCCATTTCAACTAAAAGCTTAAGCTGATAGTTGGATTGCACAGTAATGGCTATATTCTCACACTCACGACCATTATATACTAACAAAACTTGAAAAGAAACTAATAATCATAATATAATAATAATAATATAAGTGTTAAAAATAATATCTAAAAGTAATTAATTGTTAATAATCTATACTATATATAAAAACGAAATCCTGAACTTTTAACTTCCCGCCCAATTTCTAAAAAATCTCTCTTCTAATAAAATATATTGATTTCGACTTTCCCATTAATTATGGGTTAAAATTCTATTCTAATATTATAAAATAGTGTAATACAATTCCTATTGTAACCTATACTATATATAAAAACAAAATCCTGAACTTTTAAATTCCGCCCAATTCCAAAAAAAATCTCTCTTCCCAATAAAATATATTGATTTCTACTTTTCCATTCGTACAATAATTCTGGGTTAAAATTCTATTCTAAAATTATAAAATAGTGTAATACAATTCCTATTGTAATATATACTATATTTAAAAACAAAATCCTAAACTTTTAACTTTTCGTCCAATTCCTAAAAAATCTCTCTTCCCAATAAAATATATTTATTTCTACTTTCTCATTCGTACAATAAGAATGTTAATGTAAGAATTATAACATAGAATAAATCGTAATAATTAATAACTATTGTCTAGGATTAAATTTGAAATTGTCGTGAAAGATAAGCGACCTCTGGTGATATAAACTTTTAAATAATTATATATCAATTTAAATATTCTTAATATATTACAACAATTCCATTCTGTGCATCGCACGGGTGAAAATATTAGTTATAAACAATAATACTTAGGTTTGCGTAATATTGTAAAATAGTGTAATATAATTCCTAATACAATATATTGTTTAATTTCCTACTTTCATATTAGTACTACAATTCTACATTAAAATTCTTATTCGTAATACAATACACCAATATTAAAATTCCTATTCCTATTCAACAATATTATTATGTCACTACTCTCTTGGCCTTTGTAACGGGACGCGGCTCATCATCACAACATTGGTAGATCACATTGTCGAAGCAATAATAGTTAATGGGACACATGAAGGAACCAAAGTTCTTATCCCCCGAATGTCTCTCACTCCTTCTGATACGAGATTGTCCTTCAAGTTCCAGCGTAAACAATTTCCAAACAAAAGTCAAGGCCAAACACTAACTCACGTTGGGTTATTGCTAAAAAAACTGGTCTTTAATCAATGACAATTGTACATGGCTTTTTACCGAGTCACCTATCATGATGGCCTGAAGGTGTTAGCTCTAGACGAGGATGAACAATATTGTGTTGCGACTACCAATGTCATCTATAAAGAAGTTTTCAATAATGTATAAATACAATCGATGATATTATGTTTTTTTTTTTTCAAAATGACAAAATTGCTATATATCTAGAAAAAAAAATCCTCTATACAAATGAATTAGGATAGCAATTTATTATTATAACTAAGTTGCTAGAGAACGAGCACATTTGCCCAATTTATAAAAATCATAAACAATGATATATAAAATCTCTAAAGTTACAGCACCGCAGTGTACATCTACACATTAACTATTAATTCAACAATTATTTGGTTGAACTCAAGCAATGATAACATCACATAACATAATTAATCCAAACCATCTTTTCAATTGCACTATATAATATTTGATGTTATAATTTATATAATTATATATATAATCTTATACTTGTCATAATTCGATCATATATTCGGGTAGTATAATCTGGACCCCCGGGTTCATATAATCCATCAATATATCGTTCCAAATATTCTTAAAATATTATAGTAAATTCATTCCGTGCATCGCACGGGTAAAAATACTAGTAGTTAAAATAAAAAATGAAAATGTTATAATAATTAAGAGATTAAAAGTGGAATTAATTGTTTTTTTTTGTGCATCGGGCCCGCTCAAAACGGGTACTATCTAACTCTTTTGAACCTAGCTCCTCCAGCATCCGTTGAGAGAAACTCCAACAACTTATTCGGGGGTCTTTTAAAACTGTAGTGCGTGCCACCGTCCTTAGTCTGATCAAGGTTAGCAAGGAAATCAACACATCTGTTATCTTTCCTAAGAACATGCTTAAAGATTATTTCTTCAAATCTCGAGGCGAAAAACTTACAATAAAAGATGAGTTTAATGATAAAATCACAAATGAGTGAAACATATATGGTATGGTGTATAGTAGTAGGCCGGATATGATGATGGACATATTTGGACAAACGTTTTGAAATGCATTGCGACGAATCAGAAACTTGAATACACGAAATTAAAGATTCAATTGCGTAACATTATTATTATTAAATAAGAACCCTACAAAAAAAAAAAAAAAAAAACAAAAAAAAAAACAAAAAAACAAATATGAATTTTTCTCTTTTCACAACATATCCCACTCATTTCGATCTTTACCCAATTCCACATAATTTCCATCCTTTCTAACTAATTCAATGGCTCACTTTATTTATTTATTTATTATTATTGTTGTTGTTGTTATTAACAAATTTTAACTTTATTATATAAATCATCAGTGATGTGTTACCCGAAGACAACAACTAATAACCTTTTGGTTCAATTTTATAATCAAAATTAGTATCACATATTTAGAAATTGTAATGATCTTTAGTACCAATAATAATCTTTATTTTATTGTAAAAAAGAATTTGATTCAAAATATATTTATGTAACTACTTATTTATTCTATAATAATGTATTAGCAAAATTAAAAATATATTGGTTGGTTCGATTGCTCTAAAGTCTTCCTTTACTGGTAGTGTGGAATTTGAATCTCACTAGAAACTTAGAGAATTATTGGGAGACCCTGAGGTAATGAATGTTGGGTGTCGGTGGGGTTGAGCCCTGCTCGATTTGAGACGTGGCATTGTGCCTTAGGGAAGAATGTTGTTAAATGGTTAATGTTCACTTAATCACCAATTGATTTTAAGTAAAATATGATAATGAGATAGTCAAAGAACTTTATAGTTGAGCGTGCTTAACTTACCGCGTTGATATATTAAGTAGGATTAAAGTGAATTCGAATGCATTACTTCAAATTATATAACATAAATGCTCTCTTACACGGAAGGACTTACTCTTTTTGGAAGGATTATAATCCATAACAGACTTTGGACACAACATAATAACATATAGCTAAGCAAAAGATCAGACATGGGTTCACAAGCTGATGATACTCCCAATCCTCCTCATCAAGCCGATCATCCAACTTTAGAGTCCATGCAAGCCACGCCGTCTTTCATGGCCGGCCATGGAGGTAGCTCAGAGCTGGAGAAGGTGCTGTCAGACACGCAGTTGCCGTACTTGAAGCGCCTCAAATCGGCTTCGTGGATCGAACTCCGCCTCCTGTTCCGCCTAGCCGGTCCTGCCGTCATGGTTTACTTGATCAACAACTCCATGTCCTTGTCCACTCGCATTTTCTCCGGCCAGCTTGGAAATCTCCAGCTCGCCGCCGCCTCTCTCGGCAACCAGGGCATCCAGTTATTCGCTTATGGCCTCTTGGTAACATAACATATATATATATATATATACTATACACGAGCTTATTTTTAATTTTGTGGTGGTTTGAAAATTTAATTTAATTTGCAGTTGGGAATGGGAAGCGCGGTGGAGACTCTGTGCGGGCAAGCGTTTGGAGCACAGAGATACGATATGCTGGGGGTGTACTTACAGAGAGCCACCGTGGTGCTCACCATAACTGGGATTCCATTAATGGTGGTCTACTTCTTCTCCAGGCAGCTCTTACTGGCACTGGGGGAGCCCAAAACGGTGGCCTATTACGCCGCCCGGTTCGTCTACGGCCTAATCCCTCAGATATTCGCCTACGCCGTCAACTTCCCCATACAGAAATTCTTGCAGGCTCAGAGCATAGTAGCTCCCAGCGCGCTCATCTCTTTAGGAACGCTGTTCTTGCACTTGTTACTGAGTTGGGTTTTCGTGTACGAGATTGGGTTGGGGTTGATAGGTGCGGCACTGGTGCTCAGCTTTTCTTGGTGGGTCATTGTGGGAGGTCAGTTTGTGTATATTGTGAAGAGTGATAAGTGTAAGGCCACGTGGACCGGATTCCGGCCGGAGGCCTTCGCCGGACTGTGGGAGTTCGTGAAACTGTCGGCGGCCTCCGCCGTCATGCTTTGCCTGGAGACATGGTATTTCCAGGTTCTTATTCTCGTCGCCGGGTTGCTCAAGAACCCTGAGCTCACGTTGGATTCGCTCTCTGTATGGTGAGAATAACAAGTCTCTAGCTAAGTTGATCAGCTTGGTTTTTTAATTTGAACCGTTCAGAACTGTTCAACTATAAACAAATTAGACTGATTTACGAATTTTGGTGACTAAACTTACAAAATTGTATATACTTCTTGTTTATGGCAGCATGTCAGTAAATGGACTGGTATTCATGGTTTCAATCGGATTCAATGCTGCTGCTAGGTGAGTATATTTCTATATGGACTAAAATATCAATATAAGTGTTTGGTTAATTAACTTTTTGCAACTTCAAATTGCTTTTAAAAAGCTACTCCAAGCAACTTTTTCAATTAATTTTTTTAAAAAAGAAATTATATCAAACACTTATCAACTAACAACTGATTTACCAAACACTTTTTTACAACAGCTAATATTATCAACTAGTTATACCTTCTAATTAACACAATTGACTAACTGCTAACAGCTATCAGCTAACCGCCATTAACCAAACAGGGCCAATTATCCCGACAATATGATTGGAAATCTGGGCTGAATTGCTTATTAATTTATGTGCAGTGTGAGGGTGGGGAATGAGTTGGGAGCTGGGAATCCCAAGTCAGCTGCGTTTTCAGTGTTGATGGTCACCGTTGTCTCCTTCGCGGTTGCGGTGGTGGAAGCCGTCGTAGTGCTGTGTCTGCGACACGTCATCAGCTACGCATTCACCACCGGCGACGTCGTGGCTGAAGCTGTGTCGGACCTCTGTCCATATCTCGCCGTCACGCTCATCCTTAATGGCATCCAACCAGTCCTATCAGGTCAGTGGTCACCCCACCTTCCAACCAATCAAATGTCCACATAAATAAAAATAATAATAAAAGCTAACCTACTCATTTTGGCTCTTATGTTTTATCACCTAATCCACATACGTCATCAGCATAAGACATGCATATTAACTTCTAGCATATAATTTAAATATAGTATTTTGGAGTTGCTTTCTCTGTTTAAAAAAAAAAAAAAAAAACTTTTATGGCATGTTTGGTTCACATAAATTCTGAAGGAATATGAATGATATTCTATACGGAATGGAATAGAATACAAATTCTATTTCAATGTTTAGTTCACTGAAAGAATAGACTTTATGAATTTATTATAGTGTTTGATTAGTTTATCGATTAAAAACATAATAAATATCATTCAAATGGGCCTCCAAGGAATGACTATTTCCCTACAAAGGGAATAGCTCAGTCCCAGGAATAAATGGTCAAAACAAACAATAGAATATGTATATTCTCGAGAATGGAATTCTATTCACAACTTATTCCATTAACAAACATGTTGTTATGGTTTGTTACTTTACTAAAGTGATGATAAGTTACATGTGTTTTGGGGAATCTGCAGGTGTTGCTGTTGGGTGTGGATGGCAATCGTTTGTTGCGTATGTTAATGTTGGGTGTTACTACATCGTAGGGATTCCATTAGGGTGTCTTCTTGGATTCAAGTTCGACCTTGGTGCCAAGGTTTTATTTTGTTTATAATATAATTAATCTTGATTAGATTATATAAGTTTGGTGGTCAAACAAAATTGTGTTATATATATATGAGTAATATTTTGGGGTGGCAGGGAATTTGGTCTGGTATGATAGGAGGCACAGCAATGCAGACCTTCATTCTATTGTGGGTTACATTTCGGACCGACTGGAATAAAGAGGTAACAAATTAAACTGTAAAAAACTCAATGATATTAATTCATCATCTTAGTTTATATATAAAAATGTTTAGACTTGAAGCTCGATCTAGTCGAGTAGTAATATATTCTGATCAAATTGAACATAAGTTGTTAATCAGATTGGTTGAGTTCGAGTTACGTGTAAAAATATATATATTTCAGGTGGAGAAGAGTAGGGCACGGTTGGACAAGTGGGAAAGCACGAAAGAGCCACTTTTGAAGAACTGAAGGAGGGTAAAGTCTTGAGACATAAGAAAGAGGTGGCAAATAAGTTGTGCATGGGGAGTGTCATTGGTTGATTATTAGAAAATATATATTGTTTCACTCATAGTTCAATACTCAATAATAATTCTCACAAATTTGGTTGGCATCATGCTGCATGCAGTTTATGTTAATGACAATTGCCATCTAATATTCATTGCATCTTCTATTCTAAACATACAAAGCCTTAATTCGTCTAATCAACCATTCAATTACAGTCTATGAAAACCTTAAAAGATTTTGATATCTGTGAGCAGACCAGATGGATGGCTTCATTTTTTTTCAAAATTTTGTACGTTTCATGTGTAGTAAATGGAAGGAAAATTAAAATATGCTTTTTGCGGGTGAGTTGGGGGGGGGGGGGGGGGGGGGGAATTGTGGGGTAGAACCCTAGACGAGATAGATATACCGAAACAATTCTAGAAAGGGCAATTTAAATCATAGATTAGGATCCACATAGCATTACGGGTCTTGGATTGAAACAACTAGGTACAGAATTCATGTTTGTAATGTACAGAATTTCATAACACAAAACACAAAAAATCACAACACAAAACACAGCATTGTGGACCCTAAATTAAACAACGAGATATAGAATTCATATTTGTAAGGTACATAATTTCATAAAATAAGACAAAATCATAACACAAAACACATACACATGTTATATATTTAATTACTTATTTTTCAAATCAGATTTAGATACATAATTTGTGTTCATATGCACAATATTTCATAACAAAAAAAAATATATATAACATAAAACACAATTACTAATTTGTTCCAAGTACATAATTCACTTTTAAAATACAGAATTTCATAACGCAAAATATAAAAAAAAAAAATTATAACATAAAATACATACACATGAATCAAAAAAGAGTGAGTGCAAATCTACAATATCGGGTTTGGAAAATTGTGAGAACTGCAGCTGGTTGCGGGAAAAATATTCCATTATTCTGAAAGCCTATTGGGCCATAAGCTTTTGGGCCTACACTGTTGTTTGACAAAATTGTTATGTCATGGACCCGGGTCCAAAACGGCGTCCTTTTACTTCAAAACGATGCCATCTGAATTAAAAAATAAATAAATAAATAATTGCTTATTTTCTTGTTGTTTGTCTTCAAAATTTGTTCCTTTATATTCATAATTTATGAATTCTTTATTCACAATTTTTGAACTCTATATTCATAATTACAGAATTCTATATTCAACAGTATAACACAATTTTTGAATCTATATTCACAAAAAAATATCATTAACTCAAGACGTGCGTTTTGAACCTGGGTCCATAACATAATTTGCCTGTTTGTCTTCGTTTACCTATCTGTATCATCAATGGAATTGGGATCATTAATTTGTTATACCATGGACCAATGTGCACCATGTAAGGTACAATAAAGTTTTATAACTTATATTAATGGTGTCTTTAATAGCATTTTTTTTGGCGTAATTGGAACCAATGTTAATACTACAAATACATAATCCATTAACTACATGTTTATAAAATAAATATCAATATCTTAAGTCAATAACACTCATTTAGGAACCTTTCTCATGTTTTGAATTAAGAATAAGGTTAGAATTACATAACATGTCTTAATTGTGTATCTATTGCAAATATGGTTGACAAAGTCAACAATATACGACAAACCTTTAGTCAACGAGACCATTTGCCATTCATCTATGTCACCTTTCTATATGCTATACCCATGCATGCATTTTTTTTGCTGGTGTTAGGGGATCCTTTCGTTGTCCGACTACGTAATAAAATCAGCCATTCTCTATCCACAAATTCATACTGAATTTCCATATACGCCCTTGCATCCAATAATTCAACCCTTTCATGAGTAATACATACACGTTTGGTAATTAGCAGTTGGCAAATGGCAATGCTTGGCATCAGTTGGTATGGTGAATCCCCCCAGGTAATTATGTTCTTGCCATGACAAATTAAAGAAAAAGGTTTTCATAACAACTTCTGTCCTTTCAATTTCTACTCTATAACTTACAGATGAGATCCAGACAAACAAGTTGTTTACCTACCGCATGCTTTGCTCAAACAAACAATAATTATTAGCTCTGTGCAACTGAGTGCTTAGGAATTGAAGATAACCATTATACTAAACTGTGGAGAAAATATAATTCAAGTAACTCGAAGATCGAATCCTTTTACTGCTTAACGCATGGAGATTGCAGTTAGCCGAATACTAAGACTTTGTTTTCTTCCTATCTACACTCTCTACGTCGTCCATATATCATACCAAAAATCAGAACAACAATGAAGACTCATTACTGTATAGAATTTGAATTGAATTGAAGCAGCAAAAAGAATTACATGCCTGACTTTTCTCACTTGCTTCTCCTTGTAGACCTGCACTTCTTCATCTTCCTGCTAGCGCTGTTCTTCTCATCAAAGCTGCTCCAGCTATAGTTACCGGGGATTGCAAAGGGATCCCCTTGCTGCTGTCCATTACAGCTCGCTTGCTGGCTTGTCGAGCACCACCGGTTGCCGCCCCTTGGCAGCCACGACTTTGAAGAAAACGAGGAGATATCGCCGTCGTCCTCGTTGCCGGACTGGGAAAGATGCCTCGGGCTTGAAAATGGCGTGAAGAACTGTTCAACTGGCTGCAGCTCAACAAATTTGGTGAAGGTTATAACCACCCTCACCGTGGGGACCACCGGTATTGCCACCTGAAAGCCCCACCAAAAACAAATCACAGCCATTAAATTAATCAAGACAAGATAAATCAAATCCTAACCCCCACTATTCTGTTACGGTGGGCTCCACAATTACTTAAACTAGGCCCCACATGGAATGTTTGGTGTCGAGAGGTTAAAGGCAGGGTTGCACGTGGACCAAAATGTTACCCAATGAGGTGCTTCCATGTCATAGACATGGGTCCCAGAGGTTCTGTGCTTCAACAGAAAGGGGATGCTGAGGGTAGAGAGTCAAGCGTGAAGCCAAAGCGAGTCAGAGCTTGCGCATCAAAAGAAGGAATCAAAAGCAAACAAAATGGCAAATCCAAAGATTCAGAGTGAGGAAATAATGTGGGGCCTAATTAATAATTTTTACTCCAAATAACTATCAGATTTGACCATACCTTCACCGGAAATGTCCCCGGAGGGAACTTTGTCGTCAACAGCTCTCTCATCCGCCTAACGGCCTTCACTTTGTTGGCTAAAATGTCCAGTAACGGCAGCAACTCCTCAGTCTTTAACGGAAAATGCTCAGTCAACCAAATTGACGGTTTTAGGTTTTTCACAAACTCCTTCTCCTTCGTCTGCGGAGGCGGCGCAACCGGCATCGCCGTCGATCTTCGCCGCGGTTCTGGAATTATGTCCACACTTTTTCGTGAGACACTAACGAACTCTCTGTCCTCCCGAACAAAGCTACTGTGCCGTCTCTGTCGGTTGCCTGAGTCAACGGAGACGCTGAATCGCGGATTCTCGGCTACTAGAAATCCTTCGTCGGCATCTTCCTCAATCTCCAAGTCTAATGGTAATATTTGCTCACTCCCGGCTTCTCCGCTGGCGGCTTTCCGTGATCGAAAGCTGAAAATCACGTTGTGCACCTCGTAAACTCTAGATTTCCACTCTCCAACGCTCTCCGTCTTCTCTTGACCTCTCCAATTCGTACGGCCGACGAGTGTTGCTTTCGTCACGTCCATTCCTGGACGATATACGCTCGTTTGGCTACAAAAATTTGCAACATCGCTGTCGGTTAAAGGACTTCCAGCATTTTCAAATGCATCGAAAATTTTCCGGTCATCGTGGTTGAGAACTAGAAGTGAACCGGCAGGGATGTCAAAATTGCTGTCGCCCTCGCCGAAAAAGAGGAAGCTCTGATTAGCACGCTGAATTTTCAAACCGTCATATCCCGCTAAGGATGTGTCCGCTCTGAGATTGGCGTCGCGTTTCCAGATCTTGTACGTATCCGAAGGGGCGATTTTGCCAACGAATGGAACAATGGAGCTCTCGAAATGAAAGGAAATCTCCATATAGAAGTCGCGCATTCTCTGGAGAGCGGAAACCAGGCGGGGGAGACGGCGGCGCCACTTGAACCAGGCGGCGAGGTGGTGGTGCTGCACGAGCGTCGCAACAATGTCCGAGCACCTCCGCACAATGGCCTCCTGGAGAGGGTTCCAACCAGCAGCGTTCTGGAGAGAAATGTCCGCCCCGGCATTCGCAAGTGTTCGGACAGCGAAAGCATCGTTGAGGCGGACAGCCAAATGCAGAGGCGTCTCGCGGTTGGGATTGTCCCGTCGGTCTAGGACGGCGGCGATTTTGTCCGCGCGTCGCTCCTGAGCGATCGAGTCAGACTCGGTGTGAATTCGAGTCGGGTCACTGAGCCGTTCCACAGAAGCAACTAGTCGGGTCAGGGTATTATGATCCCCAACTGCCACGGCGTAGTGCACGGGACTATGGCCGTACTCTTCAGGCTTTATCGTCGTCGGCGTTGCACGCGACGTCGTCGGGGCCGTCGGCGGTTTTGACATTGTACATCAACTCTCTCTCTCTCTCTCTAATGATCTTCTGGATGTGGCGTGGGTTAGATGAGAGAATGGAATGCAAAGCTGTTGTGAAATGTAATGTTTAATTGAAGAAAGAGAAAGGAAGGGTTTCGAATTTCGAAGAGCGTTTCTCCAATTCCCCGTTCCCTCACTTTCCACTGCTTTTCTTCCGTCCAATGTATTTATTAAAAGCTGTAATTTATTTTATATTTTCAACTTTTTTTAAACTTACTAAATAAAACTTACCAATAAGTACAGTACTTCCTAATTTCTATCTCATTTAATGTGTCTAATTCAGTTAACAATATTTAATAAAGTTATTTTTAATTTAATTTTTTTATAATATTATGTTTAATATTAATATAAAAAATTTATATATTTAGACATTATAATTAAATACAAAAAGATAATAAATTTAAAAATAAGTAAAAATAAAAATACTAAAAAAATAAATTAAAAAAAATAGTTGGATTGATCAATAAATTATAAATAAGATATATAAAATGAGATTTTTAATTAATTTATTTTTTAGTATCTTTGAAATTTAGTTTTTTGTGTTTAATAATATTTGTAATGTATTTCTCACTATCTATCTCTATCTCTCTCTCTCTCTCTTTCTATATATATATATATATATATATATATATATATATATATATATATATATATATACAATAATAAAGTTA